AGACAATATTTAATGCTGAAAATTTTTAATCAAATTATGTATAAATTGTTAACTTTATCAGTGTTGCCAGGTCATGAACAAAGTTCACAGATTTGTGAACTTTTTGTCCTCGATATGTACTTTTCATGAAAAACAAGAGCTTGTGAACATTTCATGAACTTTTCAAAATAATATGAACTATTTCATGAACTTTATGAACTATTTCATGAACTTTGATTATTTTTCGTTGTTAAGGATTAATTTTTGATAAATTGTATTTATGAATATCTTATTAGGCTACTTATATATCATTCTTTAACATATCTTTTGACTTCTGAGTAAGATATGAGGTTACACGATGAAATGTTCAATGTTGTAACGGTTGACCGGAATTTTGTGTAATATCCATATAGCTGCTCATCTGCACACACTTTCATGGCTGTAAGTAAGGATGCCGGATTTGCGATGAGCGATATAAACTGAATGAGATAGACGATGAACTATCATCAGATCTAGATCTAGATAGTCATGAAAGAGTTGAACCTGTGGAGCACTGTGCTTGCCTTATGCAAATGTGGATGTGGAAAGGGTGTTTTCCTCTGTTTCCTCTATCAAAACAAAAACAAGGAATTGATTGCACACGTCAACTGTTCGTGCCCTCATTAAACCTAAGTAAAAGAAGGTGTCAAATTGTCAGGGGTGTGTGTGAAGTTTACGCCACTTTCTGGAGCGAAACAAAGAATGGCAAACAGCATCATGTATTCGAATGTTAACACGTTGGACAGTGCATGAATCTGACATTGCCACGGATTTGTAGTATATATTATATGTACTGTACATATAACATCATATATAGCATTATTATAGCATTATTGTATTCACTATTGTTTAGTTAAAATTTGAAATTCATGAACTTTTTGTCAAATTCATGAACATTTCGTACTTGTCTACATGAAAATTTAGAAATTTCATCTGGCAACACTGTTTATACTGGCTAGATTCCCGCTAACCGGGTGGTTCATAACAAGCTGTAGTGACACGAGATACAATATGGCCGGGCTAGTGGACGAGTGAAAATCAAAATTAAAAGACGATTTAAAGCCGTTAGGAATGACTTTATATCGTAAAGAACGACTTAAGAAGGAAAGGTGGCTTGAGAAATGAGTTTTAGATAGAGTGAGGTCGAGCAAGCGTAAGGAAGGCTTAGCAATAGACGGTAAATATAATGTAATGTATACACCGATTCGGAAAAGAGTTGTCAAGTCTGGAGGACTGTGGCGAGTTACACGAAAACGAGGCTAGTCAGGTTGTTGTTTTTAGTCAGGAAATTGACAAAATAATACTAAAATTATACGAAGTTATATAAAAGGTTTTCATGGAAAAATTGTTGTTTAAAGTTGCATGCCATCGCACTGTTGTGTACCTCTTTGTTCTCAGCAAGGATACCGACTCTCAAATGGTGAAAAGGTTTCATATTTCAACTTTCCAAAAGATAAAACTGCACGTATACAATGGATTCATGCAATAAGGCGCGACGAAGGGAACTATTTTAAAATCCATGACAAGACAAAGGTTTGTTCTCTTCATTTTAAGCCTGACGTCTTAAAGAAATCTTTAAATGGAAGAATATTTGTAAAGGAAGGCAATATTACTTCAAAGTTTGAGTGGAAGCTAGGATCGCCGAAGAAACGAAAAGCACCAACAGTCCGACAGCCTCCTCAAAACCTACAATAAAATAAAGCGACTGCTACGCAGGCTAGACAGCCACTAGTCAAGAACACAACATGCAACAATGTGCCAAGTACTTCTTCACATACAGATTTCACAGTCAGAAAAGTCAATGACAACGAGGAATTATTGAAGGAAGAGGTGACAGACTTAAAACGCGTACAGGAAGTATTGTAACGAACTATTAAACACACTGAAGATAGCCTTCGCGATGCAAAAGAAACAATATCTAACCTTCAACAAGAAAACTGTGATCTTAAAAAGAGTATTTGTTTAATTCAGGAAGAAAGCGTTCAGAACAGTGGACACATGAAGAAACAGATCGAAAATCTGAAGAAACAGAGCGAAATTATTGAACCATTGTTGAATTTGATCAGACCAAGATATTGCTTTCTACACAGGATTTCCCAACTATGATATATTCATAGCACTTTTTAATTACCTTAACCCTAGGACACATGGGGAAAATATAAGGTATGTGAGGGAAAAACCAAATGATTTTTATGTTGCCATCGACGATGGTGAACCAGAGAAGGAAAATGATGAGAGAAAGAAGGGAAGGCCAAAGAAGCTTAAACCAATTGAAGAATATTTTATGGTGTTGTGTAGGTTACGCAGAGGTTTTTCAATACAGCATTTATCACACTTGTTTGGTGTCGCATCATCCAGCGTAAGCAGAAGTTTGACAGCCTGGATCAGCTTTATGTACTTAAAGTTTGGTCAAATTAACCTCTGGCCATCGAAGCAACTTGTGCAAGACATTATGCCTGATGTATTTAAAGAAAAATATCCAAACACTCGTGTCATAATAGACTGTACCGAAATAAGATGTGAGATGCCGGGCAGTTTATTATTGAATGGTGAACTGTTCAGTTCTTATAAGAACCACACAACGCTTAAGGGATTGATAGGGATAGCACCAAGTGGAGCCATTACTTTTATAAGCCAGCTATACACAGGGTCTATATCTGACCGGGAGATCGTGATTCGAAGTGGTTTCCTTGACCAAGCTTTTGTTGATGGTGATACAGTCATGGCTGATAAAGGATTCACCATACAAGATCTTCTACCATTGGGGACAACTCTGAATATACCACCATTCCTTGGTCAGAATTCCCAAATGGGGGCTGAAGATGTTATC